TATTCATTTTTATTTTATCTTTTTTAATATATAAGTTAATTATACATTATTTAATAGAGCAACCTATTACTGATTCATGCATGTTGACAAAGATCTTATATATTGGACAAAGTAATAAATCACAACTTGAGCATCTTTTTAGAGGCTATGTGAAACTCAAATATCTTATAAATGAACAACGATTACAGCTTAAAAATATCCTTAAAAAGTTGAATAATGCTGGGGAAATATATAATTCTGTTGAAATTAAAAGTAAAGGGAAAAAGGTATTAAAGAAAATAGTAGATTATTTGTTTCAAGTAGATTTTCGTTAAACTAATAAATAGATTTACTTTTTTGTGTTATGTTAATATCTATGTTTATTTGTTGAATATACTTTAGAAAGCAATTAGACAACTTTTATCCGAATTATTTCATGAGCATAAGCAAATAAGCGACGAAAAGATAAAAAAGCAGCTCAAAGATAAGTTGAAAAATGACAAAGATTGTGCTGAGCAATTACAATATTTGAAAGAAAAGAAATTTTCATTCGATAAGTTGTGGAATGAAAATTTTTATTCAGATGTTAGTATTGGTATTCTTTACTTTCATTACCCTGCTGGTTATTTCCGTTACAATCAATTTACCTAATATCAATAGGTGACAATTTATATTAATATATACTTAAACATACTTTTATTACGTATTATATATATAATATTAGGTAAATAATTTATAAAAGAAATGATTATTAGACTACCTTAAATTTGTATACTAACATTGTTTATAGATACTATCAGCCAATCATGTTAAGAAAGGGTACTATGTTCGTCAAATTAAAGAAGGTCTCTGGGGTACCTTTGGCATTAGTAAGGCAAAACTGTTTAATGAATGTGATACTAAAGAACAAATGAAAATGTGAAAAGAGGACTCCAAGAAAGTTTATGAAGAATTATACAATCCAAGTGATCCAAATAACCCAAATTCAGATACTTTTCTTGCTTTAATTATCAAATATGCTTTTATATCTGAAGATGAACGTACCTAAGCTAATGCTATTTGGATACAGGCCGTTCTTGAACTTATTTTTGATGAAATTTATCTTTTGGCGAAACTTGACTTAGACATTGTTGATATGTAGTACCAAAAACTTTTAAAAGAAGCAAATGATACGGTATATTCATTTTATTATTTTTTTTTTTTATATTTATTTATTTTAATGCTTTTTTTTTAGAATAAAAAAGACACTTGAGTCTTTTTTGCAAACTCACAAGTTGGATCTTTAGATTCAATAGATGTTGACAATCATTACGAAAACTTGCCTGACTCTGACTCTGAAAGCCATCTAAGTAATAACAGCATTGAAGACAATGATAGTAATAATAATTATGATCCAGTCTTTAAAAATAACAATCGTAGTACATTTTTTTGAAGTTGTTAATCAACGAATAGCTTTTTTAAAGGCTAACATTATTTATTTAAAATATTATACTAATTTTCTATAATTTAATATACATTTTAAAAGCTTTTTCTTTGGAATGCGAATATGAATACAGAGAAGTCTTTTGTGCAAAAAATTGATAGCATTGTAATAAAATACTTATAGTTTTTTCTTATTAGCTAGCAATATTGTGCTTATTACATTCTTATTAGCTAGCAATATTGTGTTTATTATATGCTTTTAACAATATTAGCAAATAAATACATTTATTAAATACTAGTTTTTCAATTAATAAGTTGTCAAAAGTTTTTTAATATATAATTTTAAGTTTTTAAATAGTGTTAGTTAACTATATTTTGTTG